GGAGACTAATTTAAAGTTCTAATTGATGTTCTACTGAAGCTGGGTAATAAAAATCTTGACCTTTTAAAAAACTAAAAACACTATTGAGTTTTCCCTATACAGTACATGATGCAACGTGGGTTTAAAATACAAAGGCCATCAGATACACTGATGGGTTGGGTTTCAAAAGCCAAATTCTTGTTATATGGAGGTCATTTTAAGGCCATGAAAAAGCTGCATGATATTGTACATCTTGTCTTATATTTTTAAAAATCAAGCAATTATTGTAAATTGTAATGCAATTTCTATAAATGTCTGTTTCAAAATCCTGTGAACCACAGTCCAGTAATTTTCAAGAAGTTGTACTACTCCTGAAAGATTATATATTTTCTTTTATTTACTCTCCTGAATTTTTTAACTTTTACTTAATGAAACATTACTTTCATAGAAAAATTTAAAGTAACAATGAAACACACAATAATCAAATAATTACTCTTTTTATTCAGTTTGTGCTGTTCAGTAAAGACATGAACACACAGCTGCCATTTGAAGAAACAAAGCAATATATTGCACAAATGGAAACTCAGTGAAGTCTACAATCTGAAAATGTGTCTGAATAGCTGGGCCTCAGTCATCAGAACAACTCTTGATGCTTGTTTAAGAACTCAGAGCTACTTAAAGAGAGTGTGAAGTTTAAGAACCACTTATGTGGTATCAGAGCCCTACTTTAAAGAGTATAAAATATATTAAACACTATAAAATGTGTATACATTTTTAAGAATTATAAAATGAACACTTATGTACTTAACGCCAAGAAACAGAACAGTAATGTAGAAACACCCAGGGCTTCTCCTGTATTGCAGTCTTTCCTAGAAGGAAATCACCAACCTATGTTTTGAATTAATTATGCCTGTGCTTTCATTGTTTTGCCATATAATATTTCCTATAACATTGTTTTGCTTTTAGAATATATATATATATACATACACACACGCACACTCATTTGATGAATTCATTTTTTTATCCTTAACATTCTATTTGAGATTCTTTCCTGCTGATGCTTGAGTGTAGATTGTGTTCACTCCTTCACAACATTCCATTACATGGAAATACTTCACTTTATCCATTCTATTGGTGGTTCTTTGGGGGGGGTTTTGTTATTGCTGCTGCTGTTGTTTTTCAGGTACAACATATAATGCTTCCATGGACATTCTTGTAATTGATTTCCCTGGTATATTTGTTCAAACATTTCTATAGGATAAAATTGTTGGTCGCAGGGACTATATACCTTAAAATTTATTAGGTAATATCAAATGATTTTTCAAGGTGGCAGTACCAACTTATACACTTTCTATAATTTCATGAGAGTTTTCATTGTTCCCTATTCTCACTAATTCTTATCATCAGAATTGTAAATTTTTGCATATGGTTTTAATGATCATTTCCTTATTTTTTAAAAAAATGTTATAAAGTTCTGCCTGTTTCATTTATGTCCTTGACCCATATTAATGTGATTGTTGTGCATAAAGTAATATATTTATCTGGCCTTTTGAAAAATTCCTTATATTTCTCATAGTTAAAAAGAATTTTTAAAGAGATTTTCTTCTCCCTTATCTCTACCCTCATCCCTTGTGAGTAGACTCAATGAATTAATCAAAGAATGTGAACTGATAAAGTGCTACAGCCAAGTAGACTTTCTAATGAATAAGAAAATAGGGAGTTTTCACTGGACATTGAATAAATGCAAATTAAAATAAGTGAATACTATTTTGGACCTCACAAATTAGCAAAAAATATTCTTAATACAGCTAACCAAGGCTAGTGAGAATGTTGTAAAATGAACACTGTCATACACACATTAACTTTTGGTGATGCGTATAATCTTTTTGCAAAGGTAATTTAAGAACAACTGCATTGAAGATTTTAAGGATGTCAACATTTTTTTAATGAAATTTAACTTTTTGAAATCTATCCTTTGGAACTAATTTTAAAATCAGAAAAAAATAACACACTAGATCTGCACTGCAGTGTTCTATATGTATATCTTCACTACTGCTGCGTTATTTCCATTTTTACTACTATGTCTATATGAGTAGACATCTTTCAAATTTCCTGTTTGCTCAAAGTCAACTTTTATAATAAGTTTGTATTGTTTGTACAATAGAAAAATATAATTTTAAAAAGTATAAACATAATTTTATTATTAAAATTAAAAGTACTCCATTTTTTTGGGATGTTGTGTCTATCGGCAATGAAAATATTTCCCAAATCTGTGCATCAGCTTCTCACAATTGGATGATGGAAGGGATTGCTGCAGCTAGTACGCAGCTCACGTCTAGCCATGGTTTCATAGCAATGTGCAAAAAAAATTATCACAAGAAAAAGCTTCATGCATTGAGGAAAAATCTTCCCATCACTCAACCCACCTATTAAGTTTAGGCAGAGCCTTCATATGTCAAAAGAATAAAAAATACATGTGGGGAAGAATACAATAGAATAAGCTAAGTAAAGCAAACTGAATTTGGGAGGCTGAGGCGAGAGGATTGCCTGAGCCCAGGGGTTTGAGACCAGTCTGTGCAACTTGATGAGATCTCATCTCTACAATAAATCAAAAAACTAACTGGGCGTGGTAACACACGCCTGTAGTTCCAGTGACGTGGAAGGCTTAGGTAGAAAGATCGCCTGACCCCAGTAGGTCGTGGCTACAGTGGCCATAAGCATACCGCTGCACTCCAGCCTGGCCAACAGAGTGAAACTCCAACTCAAAAAAAAAAAAGAAAGAAAGTAAGTAAGCCACAGTCTAGTATTCCTATTTGTTGACACCAAATAAAGGTAGGACTATTTGGAATTCTGAAATGAGCTAGCCTCACCCTGTAACTTGATATCACTAAAATGAGTATTTACTGGGCTGGAAAAGAGAGGAACAGAAGAAACTAATGTTTGTTGCATGCCTATATGTAACAAGTACTTTAACACATTATTTCACTAATCCTCATAATGATTCTGCCAAGTAGGTAGAGTTCTGATTTACCAGTGAAGAAACTAGAGTTAAGTAACATACAGTAAGTGCTCAATAAATATCTTTTGAATAGATGGTTGGTAATATACCTAGTATGGAAGAGCCAGAATTCAAACTTATATCCATCTTATTACAAAACCCACACTATTCCATCACAAAATACTGTATTGCCTTCTGTGTGAGACTATGCAGAATCATTTTCAAATGGCTAAGAAAGACCATTGCTAATGAAGGTATGGCTAATAAATCTGGCAACCTATGATTATTTTTCCCTTCATATCAGAACTATTTCAATTTCAAAATTTCTCATTCTTGGTTAAAAAAAATGAAAAAAGACAGAAAACACAAAAAGGATCTTCAAGGGTTTTTAAAATCACTTAACATATACAGTACATGAAAATAACATGAATCTATAAGAAAACATTATATATGAGACATTTTATTAGTTAATATATCTCATCCATTTTTTTGTTGAATTCTACCAACTTCTTTAAAATGCATTCTATGAAAACATCATCCAAAATGTGTTACTTTAATTTTATGAATTTTAGGTGTTATGTCTTTTTTCCTTTTTTGCCCCATAGTTACACCAAAACAAATTATTTAAAAATGCTAAAGTAAGTAAAATGTGGCATGCTTTCTTAGATGCTTTGTATCCTGTATCAAAATAATTTACAACTACAAAAGTTGAAAATAACTTTATTGGTTTTCCTACATATTAATCCACATAAATGTGTTTGTGATGAATATTTTATTAGCTAACAGAGCACTTCTTTGAAAAAAAATTCTACCAACTTCTTTAAAATGTTTCCTATGAAAACGTCACCCAAAATGTGTTATTTTAATTTTTGTGAATCTTAGATGTTATGTCTCCTTTTTTTCTTTGTCTCTTTCCTTCTTTAAACTTATACCAAAATAAATTATTTGAAAATGCTAAAATAAATAAAATGTGGCATGCTTTCCTAGCTGTTTTGTATCCTGCAATACAATGTTTTACAACTATAAAATTTGAAAAATAATTTTATTGGTTTTTCTGTATTCAATTGCTTACCTACTGTAAGTGAATTAATCTATGGAATTAAGTAATTTTGTTATCTCATGTGTAGACATCCAAGAAAAAAAGAGGATTATTAAAGCGCCAAGATGACTAATTTAAAGTAGAGGCACATTAAAACGCTATAAAGCTAGCATATTTATTATTTATCAAGCAGAGAGAAAGTGTTTATCTTTACATTTGGCAACAATAACTTCAAGATAACTATTTATCACTTTTAAAAGCATTATTGTTGGGTCATTTTTATTGGAGAAGAGGATTTACAAGACATGAACTTCCTCATCCAAAAAACAAAAATAAATGAGGACTTAAAAATATATTATTACAAAAGCTGGTGGCCAGAAATAAAGATATGTCCAATATGCTCCAGGGCCATCAAGATGAAAAGGCTATTGGTTCATTTGAGATCTAGGATCCAAAAATCTCATTTAATAAATTTAACTGGATCTTCTTTTCTGATTATATTTAACCCCCAAATTTAGTTGTACATTATAGCAATTTTTCTTTTATCTAGATGATACAAGAAAAACCACTAAATTCTAAAGACATGTTAATAACCTCTTGAGCTTAGATTGAGGACTAGTCAGTGGAAAATATTTATCTGGCTGGGTAAATACATTTCAAGAGATTCAGATTCAAAACATTACAAAACAAGGTGTTTAAAAAAATACTTTAACCTAAAATGATTAAAAAATTATTAAAAACTATCAAAGATCTTTCCCAAGTGCTAGGCAAAAGAAAAAAAACCACCTTGTAGAGCCATGGTTATAATTTCCTCACAGAGGTAAAGAGACTCTGACCAGTGTCAGCATCTTAAGGATGTGTCATTTCACAGTCTGCATTTTTCTACTCTCAGTGGTTTAAAGAGTTTGAGCTGGACACCCTGGTACTGGGGAAAAAAACTCTAAGGCAATTCACCTAGCTGGATAAAAAAAGGGCTTACATACCTTTGATTTATTAAAATTGTTTTTCTTTTATATATGTTTTTCCTTAAAACGCTAAGATGAATGTTTGTTTATTCAATATGATTTAATAATTTATATGATAGGCTTAATAAGGTTGACATTCATTGAAAAAATGAAGTAATTTACCTTTAGTAAATTAGAAAAGTTTAAATCATTTTAATCTTATTTTAAGCATCCCTTATTAAAGCTTGTGTTTTTTATTAATAGGCATAAGCCAAAAAGTGATTATTTTTGGCACACTTCATCTTACTACAGTGAAATGGATAGTCTCATTCTCAGTTCACCTTCAATACTCTGTACATACTATTGTAAAACACTGTGGTGAAGTAAGGCCTCGCATCCTTGAGCAAGACACTACATAAGGGAGGGTTAGGTGCATTGGAAGGGTCTTCCACATCCCAGATTTCAAGCATACTGCAACCAGGCCTAAAAAAAATAAACATACACATATGCCCATATTAAAATATATTCATATCTGGAGGAAATAGATAAAGTATCTCCTTGATTTTCAGAGAGGAATTTAACTTAATTAATTTAACAACTTAATTAATTTAAAGCATCATTTAAAAAAAATAAGCTCAACATTTAGAAATTTTTAAAAAAAAGAAATGACATTAAGTATATTGCATTTTCATGTTCCACTTAACCAAACAATGAGACATGTTCTAACAATAAATGTTCAATATACATTTATAAATATATATTTTTAAATACTTTCAAACTGAAATACAAATATATTTTCCATGTGCCTTCACCATCCAAACATAATACCCATTTGTAGTAGAATAACACAGCAAAAAGCTAATCAAATTCCTGATGGAGTTCATATTTTTGAGCATAAATTGCCTTGGATCACAGCATGGAAACATATAGTCCAAAGCAGGGAAAGGAGGTTCTTATGCCAATTTGTTTTCCTCAACCCTCTCCCATTTCGGGTGTTTCTACCAAGTGTGCTAAATGAGATATCATTTCTCATGAGAGAGTCACCCTGCATGGGAATCATTAAAGGGAAGTAGTCCAGAAAAATTGGATTCTAATTTTTTAACATCTATATTGAAGCACAAGTTATTTACAATAAAATTCAGCCATTATATGTGCAAAGTTTGATGAGAATGGGCAGACATGTATCGATGTGTAAGCACTATCACAATCCTAATATAGAAAATTGCCTTCACCCCAAGTTCTCTTGTGCCCTTTTGCAATCAGTCCCCTCCCCTAAACATGACCTCAAGCAACAACTGAGCTTTCTGCACTAGAGTTTTGCCTTTTGTAGAACTTCATATAAACACATTATGTAGTCTTTTCATTTTTGGCTTCTTTACTTTAGCATGTTTTTGATATACATACTTGAGATGATGTAATTCCTACAATTTCTGCACTATGGTTCAGTAGTTCCTTGTTATCACTAAAGAGTATTGTATGGCGATAACACAATTTATCCATTTGCAAGTTAGTAAATATTTGAGATGTCTTGAGATTTTCATAATAATGAACAATGCTGCTATAAAATTCATGGACAAGGCCTTGTGCATACACGTTATTAAATGCACCATTTTCCATTCCCACATGCAATGTATAAGAGTTTAAATTGTTCTACACCCTCACAAACACTTGGTATTGTCAGTGTTTACAGTTCAGTCATTCTAGTATGGTTGTGGGTAATTCAAAATACCTTCTTTGGTGGAGTATCTGTTCAAATATTTTGCCAAATTTGGTGGTGTTTCTTATTATTGAAATGTGGGAATTCTTTATATATTCTGGATAAAAGCTCTTGTCAGGTATTTTAACAGATCTATTAAAGCATAACTGCTCAATGATTATTCAATAAACTGCACATATTATGTTCACTTTGATACATTTTAATGTATGTATACAACTGTGAACCCACAACTACGATAAAATCATGAATAACCATCTTTCCCAAAAGTTTACTTATGCCTTTTTGTAATCCTACTGTCTTGTTTCAGCTAACTCCCCCTCCCAGGCAACCATGTGTCTGCTTTTTGTCACTATATATTCATTGCATTTTCTAGAATTATTGCATGCTTTCTTTTTTTTTTCGGGCTTCTTTTTCTTAGTAGAATTATTTTGAGATTTGTCTATATTCTGTGTATCAGTAGTCCCTTCTTTCTGACTGGTGAGTAGTATTACATTGTATATTCCAATAGTGTGTTTATCCATTCAGCTGGTGAGAAACATTCAGGCTGTATCCAGTTGGGGCTGTTACAAAAAAGCAAGCTGCTATGGACATTTGAGTACAATTATTGGAATGGATGTATGCTTTCTTTTATCATGTAAATACATATACTAAGTGTATGCTTAATTCTTTATAAAATTGCTAAACTGTCTTGCAAAGTGGTTGTACAATATTACATTTGCACAAGTGCATGAGAGTTATAGGCTGTCCAGAGTGTCAGCAACACTTGGTATAATCAGTTGTTTTTCAATTTTACACATTTTATTAGGTTATCTCACAGTTTTGATTTGCATTTCTTATGCAAATGATTAGTAATGTCAAGCATCTTTTCATGTAATTATTTGCCATATGTATATTTTCTTTTTTGAAGTATCTATGTAAATATTTTGTCCACTTCTAATTGGGTGGTTTTCTTGAGTTCTGAAAGTTCTTTATACATGCAGATAAAGTCCTTTATCAGACTTAGTCTTTGGGAATTTTTTTCTGCTAGACTGTGGTTTATCTTTTTTTTTTTTTTGAGTTGGAGTCTCACTCAGTCGCCCAGACTGGAGTGCAGTGGCCGCTCCCCAGCCACCGCAGCCTCGACCTGCTAGGCTCCGGCGATCCTTCCGCCTCAGCCTTCCAAGTAGCCGGAATTACAGGCACGCGCTACCACGCCCGGCTAATTTTTTGATTTATTGTAGAGATGAGGTCTCGCTGCCTAGGCGGGTCTCGAACCCGCCGGCTCAGGCAATCCACTCACCTCAGCCTCCCAAAGGCGCGGGATTACAGGCTGAGCCACTGAGCCCGGCTGGTTTATCTTTTAATTCTTCCAAACAGTGTCTACAAAGAGCAGAGGTTTATATATATATATATATATATATATATATATTATTTGAGTTGGAGTCTCACTCTGTCACCCAGGCTGGAGGGCAGTGGTATGCTCCTGGCCACCACAGCCTCGACCTGCTGGACTCCAGCGATCCTTCCGCCTCAGCCTTCCAAGTAGCCAGAACAACAGGCATGCGCTACCACGCTAGGCTAATTTTTGATTTATTGTAGAGATGAGGTCTCGCCAAGTTGCCTGGATGGATCTCGAACCCGTGGGCTCAGGCAATCCTCTCGCCTCGGCCTCCCAAAGTGCTGGGATTACAGGCTGAGCTGCAGAGCCCGGCCAGGTATATAATTTTAATGAAGTCCTGTTTACCAATGTGTTTTCTTATGGATCGTGTTTATGGCATTTTATCTAAGAAATATTTGCCTAATCCAAGGTACCAATGATTTTCTTCTATGTTTTCTTCTAGAAATTTGATAGTCTTAGATTCTTAGATGAGCAAGTTACCTTCTACTCCTAGTTTGCTGTGGGCTTCTGATCAGTTAGGGATATTGAATTATGCCAAATACTTTTTTTCTAATTTACTGAGGTGATCATGTGGCCTTTTTTAGTTTGTTACCGTGATGAATTCCCTTGATTGACTTTCAAATATTGAGACAATTTTGTGTTCCTGGGATAAACTTCACTTGCATATTATGCATTGTTTTTATTTAAGGTATTGCTGCCAGACGTGGTGGCTCAGTACTTTGGGAGGCCGAGGTGAGAGGATTGCCTGATCCCACAGGTTCGAGACTAACCTGGGCAACTTGGTGAGACCTCATTTCTACAATAAATCAAAAAATTAGCCAGGTGTGGTGGCGCATGCCTGTAGTTCCAGCTACTTGGAAGGCTGAGGCAGAAGAATCGCCTGAGCCCAGCAGGTCGAGGCTGCGGTGGCCATGAGTGTGCCACTGCACTCTAGCCTGGGTGACAGAGTGAGACTGCAATGAAAAAAAAATAAAGTTTAAAAAAATTTTAAAAAAAGATATTGCTGGATTCATTTGCTATTTTATTTTTTTTGTAGAGACAGGGTCTCACTATGTTGCCCAGGCTGGTCTTGAACTCTTGGCTTCAAGCAATTTTCCCGCCTTGGCTTCCCAAAGCACTAGGATTATAGGTATGAGTCACTGCACCTGGCCTTGCTGTAATTTTATTTAGAACTTTTACATATGTTTTCATAAGAGATTTTGATCTGTGTTTTCCTTTTCTTGGAATGTTTGTCTGGTGTTGGTATCAGGATAATGCTGGTCTTGTAAAACCAGCTGGGAAGTAACTTCTTCTATTTAATTTTCTGGAATAGTTTGTAGAATTGGAAATATTTCCAGTGACAATATCTACCCTCAAGTTTTCTTTGTAAGAAATATTTTTACTACAAATTTAATTTTATTAACATATGTTTTCATTTTCACTTCGATCAAAATACTTTGAAGTTACCCTCATCCCTTTTTATTTATTTTTGAGCACGGATTATTTGGATGTGTATTACTTAGCTTCTAAACATTTGGGGAAATTTCTACATATATTTTTGTTGTTGATTTCTAATTTAATTTCATTGTAGTTAGAGAATATACCTTGAATCATTTTAAATGTATTGAGACTTATTTTATGTCCTAGAATATGGTCTTCTTTGGTAAATAGTGTGTGTGTCCTTAAACAGAATGTCTATTTTGCTGTTCTTGGGTGGTATGTTCTATAACTGTCAGTTAGGTCAGATTGGTTGACAGCATCATTCGAGTCTTCCATATTTTTGCTGAATTTCTTTTTATTTCTTCAACAAATTATTTAGAGAAGGCTACTAAAATGCCTAACTATATGTTGTTTGTCTATTTGTACCCACAGTTCTATCTGCTCAAATATTTTAGGCACTCCACTTTCTTTGACTGGTGGTAGCATCATGTGTCCTTTTTCCATCTGTTCACTTTTAACCTACATGTTTCTTTATAGTTAAGTGCCATATCATATAGCACAGGGTTAATACTCACTTAGTTTTAACCTACATGTTTCTTTATAGTTAAGTGCCATATCATATAGCACAGGGTTAATACTCACTTAGTTCTCACAACACACCACGCCTCTTCTAAAATGTAATAATTCACATGTAACTCCAACAACTGATCTCTCACTTCTTTCGCAGATTTTCGACTATATACAGAATAAACTATTTTTGTCCGGGCCCTTTAAATTTAAATAACAGGTTGAAAGAATTTAGAATAAATGATAATAGAATAGACTAAAGAAATCTCACTAGCAAACTGGAATCTCAATACTCACTGGATGGAACATTGAAACATATGATTCAAAATAGCATAAATTTGGAGGGACAGCAGTTTTTACATTTCTACTTATATTTTGAATGTACTAAAACTTACAGAAGTTTTGATTTTGTTAGTGCGTACACTAGATTTAGAGTTGTACTGGGTAGCAGAATAACAGCTTGGAATATAAAATTTGTTTTGTATAATTCACAAAATTATCATCGAATATATTCTGATAGAGACTGAATGTAGTGAAAACATATTTATCTCAATAGATATTTTCATCTAAAGAAGCTCTAAGAAACACATGAGAAGTGTATCAACATTTAGACAATGGGCATCTAGAGTATCAGAACAGGTAGAAAAATCACTTTAACAGAATCATACGAATATGAATGTTCACAAAAATATTACCAACAGAGGATTTGGACCTTAATGGTAGTTTTATGAAATCTTGAACAAATTATGATTTATGTATTAAATGTCACTTAGGGTTTTCAAGCATATGGGATGCCCAATCCCCACCATCACACATAAAACTTTAAATAATTTAAAATAATAGATCAGAGAATTCATTAAAAATTACCCTGACAATTACTAGAATGAAAAACATAATTTTTTAAAAAACAGCTATTTAAGGAAAACAGAACTTTTAGACCTCAATAGAAAATAGAGTTCTCATAATCAACTAGCAAAATAACTCTAAGTTTTTATAAAAGCATGTAATATAGCGAATTTTATAAACCTTTCCAACCTGTCAAAAAAAAGATAGTTATTGTCCACCGGTAAGATCTAGAAATGTTTTCTTAAATCAGAGAATGGCTTGTCATTTAGAGGAGGGGTTAGCAAACTGGCTATGAGTCAAATCCATTCTACTACTTAGGAGTTTTACTAACACACATGTCATATGTGACACATTTCTCACTTTTAGAAAAACTCCCCTTTGCTTTTTTCTGCTTTTAGAGGTTTATTAAACATGTTTCAGAGGCTATACATACAAATTGTCATTTCTGAATAGTTATAATTTTTTAACTTTCAGCATGAATATAGGGATGAGTGTGTGAGTGTGTGTGTGCGTGTGTGTGTGTATGTGTAAAACGTTTCCCTGATTCCCCTAAGAATCAACAGTAAATAGCAAGTGAGTCGGGTTGAAATATTCAATCAGTTGCCGACCTCAAGTCTGCATCCTCGTAATGTGGATGATTCACAATGGGATGAAGTGTAGACAGCTTAACACTTGCCATTATAGGCATAGCACCTGCAAAAACAGCATCTGAAAAAACAAGATCATATTCCTTAACAAAATACTTTAAAGAAAACCAAAAGTTAAACTTATCTATAATATGTGAACCCAAATTAAGATAGAAAGCAAACTGGATTTAAAAATTACATATACGTGATAGACTATTATGAAGTCATAAAAAAGGACAAAATTATGGACTTTGCAGCAACTTGGGTGGATCTAGAGTCTGTCATACTCTGTGATCTACCACAGAAACAAAGAACTGAAACCCACACATTCTCACTCAAAAGTGAGTCCTGAACATTAATCACAATACTACAAAAGAGGCATCAGCAGTAATGGGACACTGCTGGTGGGTGGGGCACAAAACATCACTAAGGGTACCTGATCCTAAGTTGGGGAAGTGAGGACCAGGGTGAGACCCAAACTTCACCTGTACATAGACCACTTATGTACCTAATTCTGACTTGTACCCCACATTTTAAAAATAAAATAAAGAGAGGACAAAAATAAAAAAGAAAGATAAAGCATATTTAACTTGTACCACTTATGTACCCAATCTTAACTTGTACCCCAGAACTTTAAAATAAAAAAACCCATATTTTCAAAAACAAAAAAGTATATTTAAATAACCACCAACTTCGTTCTTTTTATTCATTCAATATTTAATAGCTAACTTTTGTTCAAGTTATCTTGGTGTTAGAAACTATATTCCATAATTTTATGGGGATTAAATAACTTAATTTGCACAAGAACACCATGAGGTGGGTTCTCTGTTCTCGTTTTGTAGTTGAGGAAGTAGAGATACAGCTAAGTTTTGGCTTGCCCAAGATTGCACTGCAGGGAAGTTCCAGAACCCACTCTCTTAGCCTCTTCACTACAGCTTCCTGCCATGGAAGAACACTATGCTACTTCAGAGACACACAGGGTTAGAAAGAATGTAAACGTTCATATCTTGGTCCAATAGTATAAAATCTAGGAACTGAGAGACAGCTATAAAGGGCAAGTATCATGTACATCTTTTCAAGTAAGTTTTGAGGGTTGTGAATTTATAGTCTTATGGATATACCAGAGAAAGGTGTTTTTTTCCTTGGATCATCTTTAAATATTCATAATTACATTCTCCTAGTTGCCATTAGACTTTCCATCATATCACCTCATTACTTGTTGGTAGTACTTTTTGGGGTAAGGGTTTGTATACATTTGGTCATAACCAGAGATACACCAAAATCCACTACCTGGCTTCAGTTTTATCTCTTGGAAGACCAAAAGACCAAATGCTTACCTTCTGGTACTTTTGTATAATAAACGATTATATAATTATGAAAGTCATTAGCATTTTTAATCAGCACAATAAAAGCAGTAATAAAAACAAGATGTTATTCAGATCTACTGTAAAAAACTGAATGTTTACTTTCAAATATAAATAAGCACTCTAATTGTAACTTTTAATGAATATCTACTTATATACCTTAAATTTGAAAATATGTAAATCAGTGTGTTTATTATTGAAGGATTCAATAATTAATGAGGAAAAGCTGGTAGGCTAGAGAAGTAGTTCTCAACCATGAGGGATTTTGCTCCCCAGAGTACACTATCAACTTCTGGAGACATTTTTTGGCTGTCACACTGTGGGGTATGGGAATGGAAATGCTACTGGCATATGAGAGGCAGAGGCCAGGGATATCTGATACTGCACAGGACAGTCTTGATATAAACAGCACTAAGGTTGAGAAACCCTGAACAGAAGAACTCAAAACCAAGGGCCAGGGTCATACAGAAGAAATCAGACACTCCATCCAGAAAGAGCTGGAACCACTGAGAAGTTGTCATCTATGGCAGAGAGAGAGAGAGAGAGAGGGACAAACACCCCGACCTCTCCTTTTGGTCGTGAAGTAAATGAACACTACAGGGAAACAGAAAACATTTTCCTGTCAATATACTTAATCTACTACACAGATTTGACAGAACTTCACTATCACGTGGCTCGATGAGTGAACCACAGGCTGGATTTCAGCTACCATTTGTCCTCTCAACTGGTCACCGTCGTGCAGTGCCCAAAATATACAAACTTACATGGTGGACCTGGATGAGAGCACTAGTCCTACTATTACTATAAAACTTAATGCAGCTTTTAATAAACATTTGGTAAACATGCAAGAACTCATAATAAGAGGAACTAATAGGAGAATAAAACAGATGGAAAAGGAGGCAGCTAAAAGTGATATAGGGGTTTGGGGGAGTTAACTTAGAAGGATAAGTTGCCCAACATAGAGTCTCTCTGCCAGGAACCCAAGACAAATACTGGAACAAAGGCAGACATAATAAAAGATTAAAAGAGCAGATATCTTTAAAAGCTGGGGGAAAACAGCTATAACTGGGGTAGGGCAAGGGAGAGTAAAGAAGGAAGTGCCTGCCTTGAGCCCTTATAGGGAATAAATCAGTGGGGGGGTTGATGTAAAAATTCTAATTGAACTGGCTTGGCAGATTGATGTACCACTGTCAACCACACCTTTTGAAAGCCACAGACCAAATAAGCCATAGACTTATTCTCCAGAAAGGTATGTAAACTGACATATCTGCTTGAAGTAGTCCATATAAGGATAGGAGGAAAAGAAAGTAAGTTAAACAGAATGTTTGGCAGGATTTAAAAGTAGGATATGTACTCATCTGAGATAATTTAGTGAAGAAATTCAATAGTCAATATTTTAACTCTTCTGCACATGACTGGTTTTACAGATTTAGAGGACACAGTAAGCACGATTGAAGTACTAGAAAGGGTGCCTGTTAACTCCCCCCAATTAAAATTATCTTCTCCAGTGGCCTGACATATGGAGTGAAATTTCATTATTAAAGATTTATTTCTTTGATTTGTCACTGTTATGGTTAAAATATAATAATGTTCTCTGAGAGTTACAGCAGATCGCTTGTGAAAATTATTAATTTATTGGTGTTAATTAAAATGCTTTATGACAGTTATCTAAGATGGGTTTTAAACGGGGCACAAAATCACTTTTCAAGGAGTTTTGATTGCATGGTCATTGCAATTAGCATACTCAAAGTATGTGGGGGGTATGAATATGTGTATACATATAGGAAATAATAATTATATAACTACATAATATATACAAATGTGTGTGTAATATGTGTGGTATAAAACTAGCAACACATATGACTAAATAGCTACATACCTGGTCTTGTATTGTATTTTATCCACTGAATAAGTTCTTCCTGAGGTATATTATTAAATTCTCCGATTATGCTCCATTGACTATGGAGGTTTGTACAACCTTGTATTGACATCAATGCTAGAATGCCAAAGATAACATTCTCAAAACGAACTCTGCAAAAAAGCCAGCCAAAGAGCTGAAATGAAAGAAACAATTTATTTATAATTCTTATATGAAGAGTTCCATAGGTTCGATAGTAAGTTATTACTTTTCCTCTTAAACTAAGTTAAGTTACCTTTTGATATCAGCACACATATATACACAATTACTACTACTTGTTGTTTAAAAAACAACAAATAAGCCAGGTTCGGTGGCTCAGTGTGTAATCCCGTGCCTTGGGAGGCTGAGGTGAGTGGACTGCCTGAACCCGTGGATTCGAGACCCGCCTGGGCAACTTGGCGAGACCTCATCTCTACAATAAATCAAAAAAATTAGCTGGGCATGGTAGTGCACGCCTGTAGTTCCAGCTACTTGGAAGGCTGAGGCGGAAGATCGCCGGAACTCAGCAGGCGAGGCTGCGGTGACCGGGAGCGGACACTGCACTCCAGTCTGGGCGACAGAGTGCAGAGTAAGACTACAACTCAACAACAACAACAACAACAAGAAAAAACAAATATGTTGGAATTACAGAGCCTGAGTAAAAATGGATTTTTCTTTCCTCTCAAAAGAATTAAGGAAGGAATACCTGATCTTTCTACTATTAATTTACTACAGGGATTAAGATTAGCTAATCACAATTGTAAAACATCTTAGAATTAAATCCTTTAACATTTGTCTGCCTTTTATGAATATCTTGTATAGACTTGGAGACCCTATTAGCATGTATACATATATAATGATATACATATATCTCTACATACATACACACACACACATCTAAGGAAAACAGGCATTATGACACATGATATTTTAAGAGAATACACTCATAATCTATACTAAATAAGGTGTGACCAGAAGTATCTAAAATTCTAGCTAATATATCTATTTTGTATATTACACACAGTAACAGACTCCCAGAATTTCTTAGACATGCTCCGTGCCAAACAGGACTACACAGAAGCAGTCACTCTGTGTCTACTCTAGTCCTGAATGAGTATTTTCGGGTGGTTTTGGTTAGCCAGGAAACTCTTACACAGACCTGAACTTCAAAAGATTATGTTTGTGGACAGGATACTAGGAGAGAGAAAAGTGTGCCTCATCACTTGTCATAGAAATATCAGTTAAAATCTAGAAATAATTTTCAGTCACTTGAAATGGCTTTTCTTGCTTGTAGTGGATCATGAACATTTTAAATCATTTAAGTTAGTTAAGTTAAAAACAGTGGTTACTACTAACTGTAGCTGCTATAGTTAGTACAGTGTAGTTATACAAGAGTGAATTGCTTACCCGTTGGGAGCATATCAAGGAAGCCATAACACACATGTGTGGTGTCAAAAACATCTTCAACCTCATAATTAAAATGGCAAGGGCAGTGAATGCTAACAACTGCAATGTGTGAAAAACCAGCTATAAAAACACAAAATGAAACAAAATGACATTTTTGCTTTATATTAAAATTAGTAAATAGAAAACAAAATATATTAAAACTATATTATTCACCATGATAAGAATCTTCTAATTTCGTAATAAGTCTATTAACATTCATTCATTCAACAATTCACTGAATGCCTACTATATGCCAGGTACTATTCTGGGTGCTTTGGATACAACAGTAAGCAATTTCCTCCCTTGTGAGGCTTACATTTTAACACATTTAGCAAAGAAAGAGACATAAATAGACATAGCAAATAATAAAGTCAATTAAATCACCTGCCAGAAAGTGTTAAGTGCAACAGGCAAAAAATTGGAACAGAGGAAGGAGCCAGGGAATGCAGGAAGTACTGTGAGTAGATGGTAGAATTAACACGTGGGCCTCCTTGAAAAGGAGGCACGTGAGCAAGTACCTGCCAGAAGTGAGAGGTGATTCACAGGGACAAAAAATATGGGGTGCTTCGCAAATGTACATGTCATTCAGCTAATAAAAGAGATCACAGCAGAACATACACCAGATTATTTTGTTTTTATTTTTTTTTTGAGATGAAGTCTCACTCTGTCGCCCAGACTGGAGTGCAGTGGCTGCTCCCGGCCACCGCAGCCTCGACCTGCTGGGCTCTGGCGATCCTTCTGCCTCAGCCTTCCAAGTAGCTGGAACTATAGGCGTGCGCTACCATGCCCGGCTAATTTTTGATTTTATTGTAGAGATGAGGTCTCACCAAGTTGCCCAAGCGGGTCTCGAACCCGTGGGCTCAGACAACCCACTCACCTCAGCCTCCCAAAGGCATGGGATTACAGGCTGAGCTACCGAGCCCCGCTCACCAGATTATTTTAAAGTAGTGAAGTTACATAATATTTGTACTCATTAGCAGGATATCCCATTTTCATTAAGGTGGAGTTCCACCAAGCAAAAAATTCAAACAAAACTTTTCTAACAGATATATTAATAAAATATCATTTTCTCACTAGAAAAATGAACAATGAATATAAGCAAATAATTAATGCAACAAAAAGCAAGTGGCAACTAAATATTTATGTCCTAACTCACTAATATTCAAATTAAATGTTAAAAACAATGAGATATTTTCATCTATCAAACTGACAAATATTAACACAATATTGAGTGTTAGAGAGGATGTGATGAAGGAAACACTAAAATAATTCACTAATACATTTCTATAATTTAGAAATTCTTATCAAGGGCCTACAAAAGAGCCAAACTCTTTGACTTAAATTTCCATTTTAGGAATCTGTCTCAGGGAAAAATAAAAACACAAAGATGTTCTACAAAGATGATTACTAAAGTACATTTTTAACAGCAAAAGTAGGAAACAGCAATCTAAGTGACCATGACAGAGAAGTAAATAAATTACTGCATATTCACAGGTATATGGTCATTACATATTATAATATTCTTAATGGCATGGAAAAGCTTTCAGGGTATAAAACTCTACACATAAAGAATGATGTTAATTCTGCAAAAAAAATCTATGTGTGTACACACACACACACACACACACACACACACACACACACACACACACA